CCTGCTCCAGCGATGGAAATAAGTTTTATGGCCACCGGTGGATCTGAAAATTATTGGGAAGATTACAGGGGTGGAGGGTGGGTTAGAAGAAGCCGGTGTGCAATTGATAGTGGAGGAGGAGCCAGTGTGAAGGTAGGATAGGGGGGAAGAGGATAAACCCAGGGGGTGGGGGGTGTTGAGGAAGACACATAGCTACTTTTTCTTTTAAAGCTTGTAAATTGAGGTTTATTTTAAGCTTGGGTCGGGTTGCCCATTTTTTATTAAAAAGACATTTGTTTTTAATTCAAATAAGCGCGTGTATACACAACATTGAGTATTAACTAGGCTGGTCAAAAGTGGTGTGTCATTGACACACTTTTGAAAGGTTTGGTGTGTAACGTTAAATCTATGGTCAAGAGGTGTGTAACAGGGATTTGGGTGCAAGGTGGATGGGTAAACTATGTATTTTGCCAAAAAAATAGTATTTGCAAGTTGAAGTGGTGGTTGGATATATTTCAATGGAAAAAAAGTTGGAAGTTTTGTGAGTGAAACCATCATTTCACTTGACATTCCTCAAGAAGCTTTTCACTTCAAGTTCCCTATTTCAAGTTGAAGTTGAATTAATGCACAAATACTGATGGCCAAACTTCAACGTGCAAATAATGACTTCATTATTTGCAAGTGAGTCATGGCCAAATGGGTCCTAAATCATCATGATAAGAGAAGAGATCAACAGAAAATAAAAAACAGGGACAAACTCATTCTAGTTTAGTTACAGAGCACCTAACCCACTGCTATCTCTCTTTCTCTCAGTTTTCTACCATGTTTTTCTTTCTCCTTCCTCGCCCTCAACTAACTTTACTCTCACATCTTCCCTCGGCAAAGCTCCAGTGCTGACCACATTTGGCATGTTTTCATTTGCTCTCCTCACTGATGGAAACCACACCTAAGACATTTAAGTATCATACTGACATTTTATACTAGAGAATCTTCAACTTACTGATTAACAAACAATCATGCGGATTATCATCATCATGATTGAAATCAAAGATAATCCTGAATTTTGATGCTTTGAATATGTGAATTCAACTAGAAAAGCTTATCCCACATGCATATAGGAGAGACAAAATAACCTTCCAACTTTAGTTGTAGTTCAGTCATTAGTATTTAAGGTCATATTACTACTAAAAGATCAACTCGCACATCGAGCTCAGAGCTAACAAAATGCATATCATTACCTTCAAATAGTCAAACAGAATGAGACTTTGAACCAGAACGTGGCGCCTGAAACTAGGATCTTTCAGCTGAGACAAAAAGAACGATCAGAAATAATATGCCATTGAATTTGCTGCTCCATTTTGCTTTAAAAGAGCTTTCTAAATTGAGAAATGCTCCCATACCTCGAGACCCATAAGTTTACTGCTGGTAAGATATTTTATGTTAAAGGTTGCAGCATCATCCTCAAGGTTATGAGCATTGCCCTCTTCATCGCTTAAAGGCTGAGCCTCAAAAGTGTTTAGCACGATCTTCAAGCCCATAAAATCGTATAATCACACATTAGATATGGTTAATGAAAAAGAAAAGCCACAGAAACATCTCAAATAATTAAAACAGAGAAAGAGGTGTACCATCAAACCGGATGTAAATTTATGCCACTTGACAGGAGCATTAATCAGGGATGGCGGATTGCAGAAGTATTCCTGAGTTAGCAAAGCTAAAAATTATAAAACAAGATAGGAAGGTGGGGGAAGCACATGCAAAGAGCCTGTCAGAGATACTTCAAAGACAGTGATTCATACAGAAATAAAGGTTGCTGAATTCATCAAGAGATAACACCTTATAAGATCACAAGGAAATAACTTCAAAATTAAGTTCGGAAGTAGCTCTTTTTTCCTACCCCCACCCCTACCTTTCTTTTGTGGTTTTTTTTGGGGGGGGGTGGGGGGGTGGTTGTAATCAGGTTTGACAGAATCAAAGAGCTAGAACATGATCCTATCAAATCAGCATCCTTTATATCTCCCATGTGAGCAGACTGTATAAGCAAATACTACATAAGGAAGGCTTTTGTAGCTATATGCTTTGCCAACACAAGCTAACTCCTTACTAAATCAAACTCATGGAC